GTCAAAACAGCCCAATTGCTGGGTTTGTCCCTATTTTACCCAGCTTTTTTTTTTTTAGAGTGTGGCTAAAGAACATCACAGCACAAAGCTGAACATTAGAAAAGCAAAATCTCAATATCGTGACATTAAGGACTGAATGCCATATTGATGGACAGAGTAGCAGAAATAAAATAAAACAGACAAATGAAAGGCATTAAGATGTACTATATGTGGTTATTATAATTCCAAGGCTATGGAGTTTGAATATGGCTGTTAAGATTTTGAATGATGTTTCTATCTTACACCATGTCGAGTCCACTAAACGTAACGGAACAAAAAGCTGACAGTACTCCACTATTAATAAATCATCTGTTAAGATTCGTCTTTTCAACATACTTTTAATAATAGGTCATTGATTTGATGGTTACAATTACAGCTACACATGAACTGTCACAACATCTGGCACCTAACAATAGCAAACACCACTATAACTGATTGTTTCTTTCAAGAAGATCTGGTTAGTGGTACAAAAACAATGGTTATGCTTACAAAAAAAAAGTATATTTATCTTTCGGAGTGCTTCAGGTCTTCTGCTAATGTGGCATTCTGTAATTGTTCCCTTTTCTTCTCTCCCAAGTTTCAATCGATCTCAAAATCTGTCAGTTTATCATAATCCATTCAGATGAATTCAATTCCAAGTTTGGGTTGGTCACATAGTTCAGAATCTCTTTTAGTCAAATAAAATTTCATATTTAAAGTGCTCAGTCCACACACTATTACCCAGCATGTCATCACGTTCACCACTTGCTTAAAGCATATACATAAAAACATGATCAAATGTTCTTACATGACAAAGCAGTTATATTTATATGTTAATGTTGCTATTTATTGTTATATGGCAGGTTAATGCTATGCATTAAATAAGACCACTGAGAGGGTTTCATAAAAAGTCACTAAAACTATTGAACGGACTGATCACATGATGAATGGAAAGCTGATAGTCTTCTGGTGCAAAGCTAAGGAAAAGAGGAATTGCACATGAATTATACGAAACCAACCATCACAGAGCACTGGAAGTGCTCCGATTAAAAAAAGTGCATTACATATGTCAGATTCTTTAAAAAGGCTCGACATTAAACAAAATAGAACACTAACGGCTTAATACTATAAACATTAGCAGTTAATTTTATCATCATAATGGTGCAACGGTTGCTCAGTCTAAAAATTAAAGGCAGCAAGCAGTAATCCAGAGCACTCGGATCTAATAATCTAATAACATCTACAGCAGAACAGTTGAAAAGGCAACATGATATATATAATGCTTTAGCACAAACATGCCATCATCATAGACATCTCTTTTTATAGAAATAAATAGTTGAAATAAATTGTACTCTGTTTTTAAATTATTTCCATCTCTATAGGACTCTGATACACATTCAATATAAAGCATCTATCATACACAGCATACTGCAAATTCAATATCTTTGAACTCTGAAAGTCATCTGGTCAGTACAGCCACCACACGGGAAACCATTTGTTTTTTTTTTTTAAATATCCGTTAAACGCTGCTCTCTTCCTTTAGGTTCCATTTGAAATAGTTACACTGTTTGTAATTCCTTCCTATAGAAACAACATATACATACAGTTTTTTTTTTATATATATATAAGTCTTCAGAAGTCGAGTGCCAACTCACTCGAAAAGTCATTGTGTGGCATTGTGGGTAGAGTAGGTTACCCTATCCCACCTCTGAAATTTCTTTCTTGAAGATGGTTTTGCAGTTTCCATTCTGGTCCACATTGTCTCATTTTGAACAGTCATCCTAAAATAAACTTTGTGCAGATCGTGTGAATACTCCTCTCATCCTAATCCAAGCCCCATAATGTGTTTTAAGACAGGAAGTAGAACATTGCACTGTAGAAGTGCTTGCCTTGACTAAAGCACTTAGAGTAGAGCGTTTGGACTGTGTGATTTCAGCTCAGAGACTGGCCAAGGGGAGCAGCAATGCCTGATGGGTAAGTGGTACAGCACCGAGAGCGGTCGAGACCAGTACTTGCATCAGTATTATTGCATTAGCATGTTTTTATTTTATTATTATTATTATTATTTTAAAGAAACTTGATGAGAATGGCATATTCTAGTTGCTTTGTATGACCGACTTCCAGCTGAAACACATTTAAGTGCTTTAACATTCAATTTTTTTAGTGTAAACTTAATCCTAACAATGGAGTAATATTCCAACTGAAAGCAAAACCTGACATGTTATACTATCTACTCAAAAATGCACAAAAAAATATACCATAAATAACCTTTTTCCATTTGAAAACTAAAGAAAAAGTTATTTTCACAATGCTGGCCTTGACAAAATGAGGCTATATTGAATTCAATCTCAGCTGTGCGGAATCATTTATCATTTTGTAGTCTAACATGGCCTAATATGGCTATTGTTAACTTATTTCCCAGTTCCAGCAAGTAAAGTTCTATCCAAGGAACCAAAGCCAAAACCTAACCCACACATTTCAGAAGTGAAGTTCTTGTAGATTCTGTTAAGAACCTAATATAACAACTCTATATATTTGTTTTTATCCCTTCTATTCGATTGTGCACTCAGTGGCGTCTACCTTTAGAACATGGAAAACACCATCTGAAATCAACAGAGCAGATGGAGAACTGATCTAGTGAGCGGCACCAGCCCGAGTTCTATAGAAGTTTGAACAGTAACTGATGGAAGAGATGGAGATGTTGACATCTGAAGTGAAAGTGTAGGTGTACATTGGATTGACAGCACCATGAGCTTGTCTCTATCCCTCACTAATCACCCTTAAATTCCCTTTAGATAAGTGCACACCTTGTAGGGTATGACTTAATACCTTTAAGACTAATGGCACATTGGGTATGACCCAAATTCAACCTTGAAAACAAAATGTTGGAGCAATGGATGGCACATTATGGAGAAGGCGTTGCAAATCTGTCTGGAACAACAGATCCAATGATGAGAAACAATCCCTTGCCAGAGTGACCCTGGTCATGGGAATACGGCTAAAGGACTGGAGGGTCTGACACGAACACGAACAGCTTACGTTTATTGGCGTCTTCTTTCGGTTTGAACTTGCGCTTAAGGACACAAGATAGCTGCAAGTAATAGTAATTTCTGTGGAGACATGGCTTCCCCTAAGTATAGGTCTCTGTAAGCCATGTCTGACGCTGGTGATTTTGTTATGTTGATATTTGTCCTAGTAATATGGCTGGCTGACACATCCAGTTCGAAGAGTAACGCTCTTAAGTGACGACTAATGAACGAATGCGTCTCTTTGCTGAACATCGGGGAAGCAATCGAGCTGATCACACAAACACACACTCCCACATTACTAACTTACCCATGTGGATTTTAAATTTGTGCTGTTAGGATTTCACATTGATCAATCTCGAATATGAGACAGCTCCCTCCTGCAGCTCTGTGCTCTGAAGAGAGACGTCATGTTCTCTAAGATCTTATTAAAAGTTTAGCGCGTTTGGCAAGTAGGAGAAAAATCCTTAGTCTGTAATTGGATGACTGTTGGAACGGCAGCCATGGCAAGTAATTATGCCTTCTCGTAGAGTTTGTTACGTATTATCTTTACAGACTCCTCTATTTGGTTGCGTCATGTCAAAGCTAACAGGTGCTGCCGTCTTGGTGTGGTAGACTGTTGTTTAGAGTTCAAACTGAAGCGGAAGTGTTTGATTCTTCCTCGTTTATTTGAGGAAAGAATGACTCGATCAGGTTGAAATATTCGGTGAACCTGTATGTGGCTCTGGCCTCAACACAGCAGAGTTAGCACAAGCCATCAGCCTTCACATGGAGGATTTTGGAGAAACCAGGTCTTTTTTTGAGTGCCTGAGAGGAGAAGACAGAAAGGATATGAAAGAACCGGTGTTATATTTTTGGAAATACAGAATGTATATTGTATGTACAGTGTTATGTTGAGTACATGTTGTTCAAAGTTGAACAAAATTCCTTTTTTGAGCAAGTACAACAGTCAAGTCAGGTCTGATTTGGTAGGCCATTTCAGGTTTACATAATTTCTTTGCTCTGGTGAAGCACAACTAACATTAAAAAAACAACACAAGTGTTGTTATTGTTACTGAATTAAAATAATGCTGAAATAAATATAAACATAAAATTTTTATTGGTTAGTTGAACTTTTTTACTGGTTAGTTGATTAGATTTCTAGTGTTTACTTAGATACTTAGTGTTTTTTTTTTAAGTTTAAGTACAAAAATTTAAATAAAAACTGAAATAAAAATGTATATTTTTAAAAATTAATAAAAATGACAAATCCACATAACAAAATTATTCTCTCAATCTAAGTTTTTTTAATTACTAAAATTTAAAGTAAAATTAAAATGTAGAAAATATACAAATAAAGACTGATTTAAAATATTAACAAAATAATATAAAGGTACGCAAATAATACTAAAATAACACTGAACACTGCCAAAGTAAATTGCGATTTTATTTTTCAACCATAGTTGGCAATAGAGAGACCGATGTTCCATAGTGTACCTTAAAATTCTAATTCAAATCACAATTCTGCATTCTGTTGCTACATCAATTCAAATCCAATTCTGTTCCAGGATCTGAATTAGAATTTAAAAGACATTCAAATTTCTGGTGACAAAAATACCTGGAAAATGTATCTATTTTTTTATTCTATTGACTATTGTAATCGACTTTTATGTCACTTTTCGTTTTTTTTATTTATCTGTAAGTATCTCTGGATTTAAAAAAAACTTTGAAAAAAGGGAAAAATGTCTGGCAATAAGGCATTATAGTTACATAATTTGGAACTTCATCTCTGGATAATCATAATCTCCGCTTGTGTTTTGACAGTTCAACTGATCCTGTGATGTGATTAAAGGGTATTTTCATTTGGCTTTTTACAAAATGAAAGAACTTTCATTCGCAGGACCACATAGAGGAGCCAAATCACAGAGATGATATAGATCTGGACACTATACATTTGCTTCCGTGTTGATGGTGGAAATAAACCGTGGGCAGTTTCTGAACAAGTACAAAATATTTTTGAGCCTCTTATGAAAATGATATATGATGAGCAATGCACTCTGTCATCTACAGCAGCCCATTTCAGCACAGCTTGTGTAAGACATTCTGCAAGTCACTTTAGCTTGAGTTTTCACGTGGGTGGGTGTAACCCCACTTCCACTTCCTCTCCCAGTTTATCTAGAGTCAGAACAGAGAAGAGGCAGCTTCCTGCGTCCTCAAAGAAAGCAAATGGATGAGATGAATCACTTGCATTTGACTCATGGTTCCTCAAAACGGCAGCTGTGAGAGGTTCTTCTGCTTTCACTTACTCATTTTAATGCGGTCTCAGACACCGGAAACCCCATGGCCTAAGACTAAATTACTACAGAACAGCTTTTGCTAGTAATTTTAGTCTGGCAGTGGATAAACGGATATGGATGGGTCAAATTTTATGACGGTCTCAGATGTCTCAAAAACCTATCTATAGCAATGATTCTATACCTGCAGCTTGTTCACCATTTCGTCAAAGAGTTTTCTGGCCTCGGGACTGTTAGGGTCTTCAAAGTAATCTTCTATACCGATCTGGACTACTATAGACTTCAGGTTACGACACGCACCTGTGAAAAGAGTGGAGCTGGGAATGAGTAAGAGAGTGAGGGCAGAGAGTCATTTTGCAGGAAGTGCGGGCTTATTTCTTGACATTCATAGCTCTAAATCTAAAGATATAACCAAATCCAATGTTTAATCTGAACATTTTCCAACAACTAATTTAATGATCTTTTTTAAATTAACTGCAAATACAGGAGTATTTTCTAAATTCCTTAGTCTCTTGCAATTCATTAAATGCTAATTATTAAAAAACGTAATAATTAATAAAAAAATATTATAAATGAATTATAAAAAAATATAAATTATAATTATATTTTAAATTAATTAAATTACTTATTATAAAATTTTTCATTAAGAATTAAACTATTTCATTATTAGAAATTAAATCATGTATTTTAAAGAATTAAATATTTAATTAAATTATTTAATGGAGTAATTTATTTTAATAAAGCATTATTCAACATCTCTGCCTTTAACATCACCAGGCTTCCACTGGTTGATGCTTAGTTTAGATGCACAAATAGAATTACTGTTCACTGTTACTGTTCAAATACCAAACCATAATAATGAATACGAATCTGAATCAATTTGTGTGGACTCACTATTAAAGTGAAGCAGGGCTTTAGGAGTAACAGGAGTGGATGTGAGCACCAGCATCTCCAGACCCTTCAGTCCCTCTCGGCACATCTCAGCAGCCACTTCCTGATTGATCTCACTGACGTGGTCCAACTCTAGCACCTGCAGCCTCATGCAGTTCCTTGCTGAAGATATATACACACAGACAGGGTGATTACTGTCTTTGTGGAGATAGAAGGCATCAAAGAAAGTCTATTGGCACAGTGGTAGTCAGCTGCATCAGAGACAAAGTTAAAAGGAATGCTTCACTCAAAAATGAATACAAAATAAATGGCTCCAAAAAGCACTATGAAAACATGAAAGTAGGTTATACTACATGTGCACTGTTTTTAGGTGAGCACAGGAAGAGAACAACTCAACTAATACACAGCTGTAGTCCTTCTGAAAAGTGAGACACTGAGGATAGTAACTGGAAGTGAAGTGGAAGAAAATAGCTGAAAGGTTTGAGAAAAACAATTCTGTTTATCTTCCTGATTACGTTATCTTAAGTGGTCTATGTACGGCTAAGATGTTTTTTTTTACATAGCTAACCGCAGTCTTGGGATTCAGAAAGGTCAAAACCATTATATCAACACGAGGAAGGTACTCAAGCAGAGTAGAAAATGGCTCCTCTTCCTTTAAAAAAAAATCTATTTATAGTAAAATTGCATACCATAAACATGTGCCTCCGGTTTACTCACAGCAGCATGTTAAAAGTGTCATTTCCAGTGTCTCTTTGTCCCAGTTTGCAATGGGAATAACAAAGTACTCTCTATGCTACATACAGTAGGTAATGAGTTATGTTGCCTTGCAATGCTTATCTGAGAACAGCTACTTGGCTAGTGTAATAATTAAATAAACAATTGTTTTTTAGGGATGCAGGTGATAAATCAGTGCAGAAGGGGTGTCAATATCCAAAGCATAGGTAATGTTTTTTTTAAAGAAAAAACACAGTAAATACAGTAATATTAATACCATTTAAAACAGTTTCCTATTTTAAATATATTTAAAAATCTAATTTCTTCCTGTGGTGGCAAAGCTGAATTACTCCAGTCTTCAGTGTCACATGATCCTTCAGAAACCATTCTAAAATGCTGATTTAGTGCTCAAGAAACATTTCTTCTTATTATGAATGTTGAAAACATTTGTTTGAAATTCTTCAGTCACTTACTTATATAATCTTACATGCGTGTATGTATATATATATATATACATACTGTATATATACACATACAAGCATATTAAGAAATAATGGCAAACACTATTTCAGTTTACTCTCACTCACCCAAAGAAGCCAATCCCTGTATGCCACAGCCAGCTCCGCCCACACCCAGAGCTCGCAGGTGTGGCCAGCATCTGCCAATGGTCTGCAGGCACCTGTTACTGAAGCGTGCTGGCTGCTGACTGCAGAATGACAATTCACATTTTCAATTATTTACATTAAACTTTAAAAAATATTTTTTTCTAATATCAAAGACAAATGCTCAAAAAAGACAGTAGATGTTGCATTTTAAACTGACATAATATTTAAGCTATCAAACCATGTTTAAGAACCACCTTAACAAAAATCTACAATTGTCTTTGAAACAAATAAGTGTATTTTCACTCTTACCATGGATGTAAAGGTGCCACCTGTAGTGAGATGATATCTCTGCAACCAGCTCCCAGTGCCCAGATAACTTCCTGTCCAACAGGGTCTGTTGCGCTCCTAAGACATAATCAAAATCAACATCTGAGAAACTTTCCCTCTCTGCCTTTGTAAACCTTGTTATGACCTGTCAATGGGAACTAAGCATTCATACACATTAATCAACGTGTTTATTTCTACTCTGATCTGTACTGGCCTTGGACATAATTACAAAAAGTTTTCCTGCTAATATATGTATGTAATATATGTAAAAATTTATGAGTCCACAGTCTACAGAATCTATGCTTGATTCCAAAATTATGTTTGCATCCTTAAAGTATAGATCCAATTTATTACATGATAGCTTACTGAATAAATATATATGAAAAATAAATTAGAGTTGTTACTATTTTCATTAAAGCAATTTAGCAAATTATTTTCCCAGCACAGTGGTCATTAATAGTCATTATATTTAAATGCTTTTGTATTCATTCTCAAAAGCACTGGAATATAGTTTTCTCCCACCTCAAAGGTTTTGTGAGTGAACGCAAAGTTGCTTGGGAAAACGCAAACGTTTGCAAGTGAACACAAAAGCATTGAAATATATGTTTTTCTCCCATCTCTCTCTCTCTTTTTTACCATCAGCACATCCCTTTAGAGGCTCTGTAAAAAAAAAAAAAGGTGTAAATCTTATAAGAGAAAACTCAATGTTATGACCATATGCCATTATTATATCTAACAGCCAGTCAGCCATTAAAAAAAATGTTTTCATCCTTTAAGCATACATATCCAATTTATTACATGATTGCTTAGTGAATAAATAATTAAATAGACATGAAAAATTAATTAGAGTTGATATTATTTTCATTAAAGCTAAGCAGTGAATTGATTTCCTGGGGACAGTGCTCATTAATACAGTTTAGGAGTCATGATACAAAAAAATATATCTGCTTGTACAAGGATGCAATTGACCGATCAGAGTCAAGTATACCACAAAGTTGTGTAATAAAAGAATATATGGACAAAAAAAGGACTAAATAGTGCTCCCTTGTGGACCAACCTGTATGTGACAGCCTGTAGTGCCCTGCAATAACAGCTGGCCAACCACAAAGAGCGATCGGTCAATAGATTCGGACAATGAGACACCTTCAGAATGAGCAGATTACTGCCAGTAGCTTTCAACAAAGCCTCCAGACCCTCCTCAAGACAGCCACTAAACACAAAAGAAAGAGAATCTATTAACACAATCTATTAACATTTCAGTTTATACAAAATATGTGGGGACTATGGTGACCAGATGTCCTAATAAAGTTATGACCCATACGCCAATGTGATATACAGTATGTACAAACATGTTTTTGCTTCATATGAAAATATATTTCATATATGAAACCTATTAGAAACGGGAACAATTTCATATATTAACATCAATATCTAACCAAATATGTTTATGTATGTGTAATACATTTTTGAACAAATGTCATGTACATGTATATCCATCCTAAAACCTGTCAATACATGTTGATAAATGTAAGACAGACATATATTTAATTTGTGTGTGTATATATATAAGTACATAAAATTGCATACATAAAATATATTTTGTTGACATTTGTGGTTGCTACATATAATACCACATAAAAATCATCTACTCAGAGAATGATTTAGTATGGGGACAGTCCTGAATTTATTAGCCTGCAATGCCATTTGGTTCAATAATGAATCTTTAGTTTGATTGCTTTTTGATTTTTTTGTCTCGTACAGGATATTTTAAAATTAAAACATTACTTTCAGCTTTAAATCCACCAAATATACGACGTCTACTTCAAAGTCTTTCATGAGGTTTTCAGCTGGCACTCTGATTGAGGTGATTTAGCAGAGCAATTAACAAGCTACTCAGTCTGTTCCCTTCTCACACTGGATTTCCGAACAAGCACTTCACAAGTGTCAGACTGTGTGAGTGAGTGAGTGTGTATCTGTTTGGTGTGAAAGAGTGATGAGAGGATCAGAAAAGAGTGCAGAAGGTAATAAAACAACGGCGAGAAGAGGAGGAGGTGCGTGGAGCTGTGGGAAGGCAGTAGCCACACAAACAGCAGGGTCAGTATGGTACAGTAAACAGCAGGCGTAGTGGGAGACCGCATTACCGTGTGCTCTTCAGATACTCCTCCTTTGTCTCTTTTTTGCCCCTCTGCCGGGGTTTGAGGTTCTGGAGGATGAGGGAATGCATCTGTGTGCACCACTGAGACAAAGTGCACAAGAACTAAACAAACATAGCGAGAGACAGAGTTAGAGAGCTTGGCCTTTTTTCAGGACTATTAGCAGTTACGAAATACGTGGGCAGCAGATAATTAATGCTACACCGTTTCACATCTCATTCAGAACTGTTAAATGTCTTTTGGGTCAGTCCTTTAATGCAGTACATTTTCATCTCCGCATCATATATACACATCATATATATATTTAGTATAATCTTTAATAAAATATCACAATCACAATTTTTAAAGACAGAAATTAAGATGATAGAATTCAAATTATTATTATTAATATTATACTTCTATCAAAATATTGCACGGTTGAATTCTGAATAATTTCACTAGACTTAAGTTAATGTTTTTTTACATAGCATCCCAGGTGCTATGTACTAACTTAATATGACAATTTATTATTTATTAATATATTTCATATTTATTAACTTATGTTTATGTTTTCTTATGTGCCTTTTTTATATTTCTATTTGGCATTTCAGTTTTAATTGTAGTCTCTGTAATTCTAAACGATATATGTGTAAAATATATTTTAACATTTTAATTTTCATCAAAACATATTAATTTGTCTATTAACTATTAATCATTACATATTTCCCCCCCCCCCCCGTGCCCCTAATATCACTTTCTATCCTATCTACAATTTCAAAAATAAAAATAAAAAAAGACACCAAGCTCTAGGTCCAGGAAGTGATATCATTACATATTATTTTTGTCAGCTAACTCGCAATTCTTTGAACAACTGACAACTTTAGTTCTTTTCTTGCTGTGAAGCTCTAATTTTGAACTAAAATAAAGCACAAGCATTTTATTATTAAGTTACTAATTAGCCCAAAAGGTACTGCATAACAGGAATGACCCTTTTAGTTTTGAGTAATTCATAGTCTAATGAAGGCTTAATCCAAAAGCAGTTCTGCTATTAAAAATGTGATAATGTTTAAAATGTTCAAGACAATAATTATGAGTACTATAATATAAATACTTATGTCATGTTGTAGTGTAGGAGCATACATTTCAGGAGTAGCTTTTTCAGATTTTAAAAAAACATAAAAATAAAATTCCAGGCTGATTTGATTTCATTCGCTGAAAAGGCCATGGAGAAATTAAAAGAGAAATATATTCTGAAAACCTGCAGAAAAAGTAGGCGGTCAATTCTGAAATTGAACAGAAGTACTACAGTAAAAGTGTGTGTGTGAATGGTGTTAAAACCTTTGAAGAGATGCGAGCGTTCTCCAGCAGCACTCTGGTCCACACCGCCGGGTGACGAGCCACAAACTTCCAATCCCGGCACACCTCGGCCGCTCGCAGGAGTGTCTTCATATCCAGGTACGTAAAGATACAGAAGAGAGCAGCACGTATCTTCAGCACCTCAGGACTGATCACCTCGTTTACTTTAGATGGGCTTTTCTCGTGGCGACAAGGCTTGTATCCCCCTTCAGAACGACCTGCCAACACGGAGAATAAGAGCTAAAGGAAGACTTGCTTGACAGCTGTGGTCACCATTTAGTTTTCCTGCATGTAAAAGAGAAGACCTTTAGCACACTGAACTCCACACCGAAAATGGGTGAGTTAATTTTTGCCTGAATTAATCCTTTTACTGGCTGCATTACCATACATTGTCATATGGTGGCGCCTCAGTCAAATAAAAAGGATAGCTATCAGTCTGTTTGCTCTTCTCACTGCCTCCTACAGGTTCTGAACATCCTCCAAATCATGCAATCAGCAGGCCATTTCTATCTCACAGCTCCAGTTTGACAGACTCTAGGTTTACTTGAGTCATACACGATTTGCTGAAGATCTAACGAGACTGAGACTAAAGAAACAGGTGTTGTTCTTGTTTTATAAGATGTAAAATTTTTAGGCAAAATCTGCCAGAAGTTATGACTCAAACAGGGCAGGAGGGATTGTGTATGGCTATGGTAAGGAAGGCTATGGTAGGCCTTCACCTGGACATGGGCATTATGTTTATGCATTCAGTTACATTCAAAAGCTAGCTGGATAAACTAGCCATGACTGCTGGTCTAGGATCAGTTTCTCCTACCCAAAACCAAACATTAACTAATAGCGGGATGAAAAAAAGATGACTCTGGATCAGTGGATGCAGGCAACATCATCCCACATTGTTTGCCCTGCTGGGAAAATGGTCTTGATTTCTGAAATTATTTTTAAAAATGTAAAAGTTTAATTACCATTAATTAATAATAAAAATACCAGAATATTAATTATTGTTACATACAAATACAGTTTTACTTGTGAAATAAAAAGTGCTAAATTATATCAGTATAACAAATTTAGTTTATTCATATGAGTACAAATATTTTATAAAATAATCTATTAAATAATAAAAAATATATATAAAATAAAAAAAATACATTCATATCTGCATTTAAACGCTAAACAAGTATGCACTTAAGTGGATGCAGGCAACCTCATTGTTTGCTGCAAAAAAAAGCCTTAATTTCTTGATTTACGCCATTTTAGATTTAATTAATTAATAAAAATAAAAGAATAAAAAAGGTCATAATAATACTTATTTAATTAATGCTCACCAATAATTATTTATTATTTAATATTAATTAAATAATTAATTTGTGAAATAAAAATGATTAAATTATGTTTGTACTAAAAATGAATGAGTTCATCCAAATATGTAAAAATAAACTACAAATAAAAATGTGCAAAAATAATAATAACAATAATAACAGAAGAAATACATAAAATAATAATCAAAAATGATTTTATTTTTGCATTCACATCTGCTAGAAACAAGTCTGCACTTAAATAAATGCACAGAATTCATCCCTTGATCTCTCCAATGGATTTAATACCAACTTCCAAATACTTTTTGAGGTTGACACTTTGACATTGTTTGACATGGAAGGCATATGTATCATTCAAATATAATTTCCATGCTGTAATGTTATGAAAAAAATCATGCATTTATTTAGTTAATTCCCTTTAACTTTTTTCAATAAGATGTGAGCAGGCCTACTGCTGCCACCTACAAAGGTTGGTAACATTTTCTGCCACATAATCTGACAGCCGAACAATGGAGAGTTGACAATCTGCAGAACAAAATAACAGTACAAATGAGCCTTAATCAATGTAAATGAAATGCATACAGTCAAGATATCATGGCCTTAAGTCACACTTTGTATATGGTATGATTTCTTATGAGAGCATAGAGTAGACTATTGGTTACTCATTTCGCTCTTCCCAGAATGACCTGGAGTCAGTAGGTGGAAAATTGTGCTCATTGCTCATGGCTTTATGACACACGCTCTCTGGCCTATGATCCTGACAGCAGTTGCATTCATGTGACCTAATTTTCCTCAGCCAGCGTCCTGGTCCTCTGACCCGACTATACCGTCATTATTTTTATTAAAAAAATGGCTGTGATTCTTCAGCTCCAGTTGCGCAAATGGTAAACTGCGTTCCGTGGTCTTTTTGACGCGATTGACCCGAGTTTGAACCTGCCTTTTGCCAAATGTTTTTTTCCCCTTTTCAAATCTCGTATCACATCGTAAAGGCATTTCTGTCAGGACCACTATCGTCAAAGATGATTGACAATTAGCATACAGTTTAGATTGGCGGTATGGTTCTGTTCTGGACAAGAACTCCCTGCGCATCCATGCAGCCTAGCATGGATGAGAGCAGCGATAACCCCCCCCAGAGTAAACAGAACAGAACCAACATAAATATATTACAGATATCGTTAAAGTTCAATAATGTTATGTACACATTTTAGAATTAGTCTGATTCAAAGGATAATCAGAAGGCTGAATCCTGACTGACAGAGGAGGAGTTGGGGATGGAGGAGGGTAATTAGCTATTGAGCAATGTGAAAACTGCTGATACTACTGCGGGACCTTATATATGAATGCTTAGGCAAGTTTAGATAGGTGTCGTATTCCCATAGGTTGATGGGGATCAGCTGAGAGTCAGCTGATGCGAGCTTGACTAACGTGACCTGCCAGAACTAACGCTACACTAGATTTATTGCCCGCCTTGTTGGCAGAGGCTATTTACACTAACTCCGCCCACCAACGTGTGATTGGGCTAGTCAACTTTATAAAAAAAATGGCTGTGATTCTTCAGCTCCAGTTGCGCAAATGGTAAACTGCGTTCCGTGGTCTTTTTGACGCGATTGACCCGAGTTCGAACCTGCCTTTTGCCAAATGTTTTTTTCCCCTTTTCAAATCTCGTATCACATCGTAAAGGCATTTCTGTCAGGACCACTATCGTCAAAGATGATTGACAATTAGCATACAGTTTAGATTGGCGGTATGGTTCTGTTCTGGACAAGAACTCCCTGCGCATCCATGCAGCCTAGCATGGATGAGAGCAGCGATAACCCCCCCCAGAGTAAACAGAACAGAACCAACATAAATATATTACAGATATCGTTAAAGTTCAATAATGTTATGTACACATTTTAGAATTAGTCTGATTCAAAGGATAATCAGAAGGCTGAATCCTGACTGACAGAGGAGGAGTTGGGGATGGAGGAGGGTAATTAGCTATTGAGCAATGTGAAAACTGCTGATACTACTGCGGGACCTTATATATGAATGCTTAGGCAAGTTTAGATAGGTGTCGTATTCCCATAGGTTGATGGGGATCAGCTGAGAGTCAGCTGATGCGAGCTTGACTAACGTGACCTGCCAGAACTAACGCTACACTAGATTTATTTTCAATAAAATTTAAGGAAATAATCAAAAAGTTGAAAATAAAGTATTGGGTAGGGTTAGGGTAGGTGTAGGGAGGGCTTTATTGTACCAATAAGGTGGCATCCATTTAATAATTTGAATTAAAATTATAATTTACACTCAATACGTTATCATTGCATACTGTTTTATAAGGTACTACAATACTGAAGTGCAGATAATTGCCACTATTTGCAACAAGTAGTATAAATAGCAGAAAATCCTGCTATTTTAACATAGTGTAAATAATCTATGGCTACTTGCACTTAGTGTAAATAGCAATAGAGGCTATTTACACTAAGTGCAAATAGCTGCTGCCTTTTTTAAATATAGTCTGGAGCTTTTTATTTACCATTCAATTAGCAATGTTGCCCTAACAACTAATTGAAATACTAATACTAAAAAGATGAAGTACTAAAACTAATAAAACTAAAACTGAAATCTTTAAAACTGAACACTTTATACAGTAGCCACAATGTATGTCATAACTGCCCAGACCCAATGAATGCTATGATCAGTACAACTTATATGTAAGAACTATCTATTTGTAATTTTCATTTGAAGCTAAAAATAGAGATAGGAAGCAATGGATAAAGACGTCTTTCCCCTAAGTCTACCTCAGACAGATGCACAAACTCTTTTGCAGAAAGGACTGCTGTGGACCGTAGGGCAGCTTATATTTAATCCTAAGAAATAAAACAAAAAATATATTCAATTTCTAAAAACACATTTTGTAATGTCTATAGTGCTTTACTCCTGTGTGAGATTTTCTCAGCAACTTGCATATTTAATTATAATTATACAATTTATTAATCATTTTGTACTAATATATTTATTCATGAATCAGAATATTATGAAATCTATTTGAATTAATTTGATCAAAAATACACAGGTGCAGGTAAATTTATTGTTTAAATGAAGCTCCATTGACAGAACATATATGAAGAGTATACACAACTGTTCAACACTTCGAGGTCAGTAAGATTTTTTTTTTTTTAAGTCTCTTAAGTTAAATCGTATAAGTGCACAATAAGGCTGTATGCCTCATGACAACTCTCTGAGAGTTTAGCACAGTAATATACATGGCAATGTTAACGTGCTTGGTCTTGGAGGAATAGATCTGCTACGCTGCTGCTGCTGTGGCAGAGCAAGTACAAGAGATTTTCTACTATCACATCCACAGACTGCTGCTGTGAGCATGTAGGTAATACTGCTGCAGCACATATAACATATATGAAATAACCCCGTAGCAGATCTATACAGGTGGAGCTGGGGAAGGTGGAAGGTTTCTGAAGCACACTGCAACCGCTACAGCAAGTAGCGAGTATTTGAATGTTGAGCAGCAAGCTGCTGATACGAAAAGAAACCAATCAGCTGTGCCATATATGATTAATGATGCCATTATGTCAGATTGAGTAAGAACCTGTCAGCCTGTGCCGATAGTTTCATAGTTTCATTTGACAGAACTTTAGATTAAAGCAGTATTGTGAAATTTGATATTTTGTAAAAAAGTGTATAGGGTCGCTAGAGACCCGAGGTATGTAAATGTGTAAGTATTTTTTCCTGCGCAACTATATTTACATGTCTGATGACTTAACATGTGCAATCATCTTTATTCCTCAAGGTGGCACTGTTTGACACACAATGACGACGTGACGTTTCACTCATAATTGCGGCAGGCATAAAAATGAATATCATCAGCAAAAATTTTACTGATTTTAACGGCTTTACTGCAGAGCAATTACTATACACAATCAAATATAAATGTCAGTGTCATTTGATGCTGGATGTGGTGAATAAGCTGCCAGTGATCAAAATACTGAATATGAAGTCATTGAAAAGGATAGTTTTGAGAATATGGTTGAAATCGTGAATGTGAGGCGGATGCTGAATGTACTGTGGAAGTGCGCTCTGACGATGACAGCGATGGTAAAATCATCTGCTCAAATTGAACCTTTTTAGGTTTCAAAAGGTAACGAAATATGCTTTATTTTATTCTTCTGTAATTGTTCTTAAAATATCAAGAGAGTTTTTTGCTATTGCAGCAGTTAGAGATCCATCCGTGCTGGATATATTGGTCCGGGTCGCTAAAGACCCAAATATGTAATAATGATTGGCGAAACATTCATGCATTTAAGGGTTAAAGAAAATTCTATCATCAATTCGCTCCAGAATTTGGGCATTTGGTCTCCACTATGTAGGCAAAACCTGACCTGACACACACATGCTCTCAGTACACACACAACAAGTGTTCACCACTATCCTTCAAGAGCTTTGGGTAATGGTTGTTTTTGGCCTTGTGCTTTTAGGCACTTTAGTTTTGCCACACACAGCAATGCGTTTATGTGTGTGTGCCTGTGTGCAACAGGACTCTTTCCGCATATCTTCTGCATGGCTGAGAGATTACAGGCTGGTTTAACCCTGAGGCAAATGCAACAATCTAGAGATTTTCCCAAGACACATCCACACCAGGCCGACTCCAACATACCCACCACCTCTCTTAGCAGATAAAAGACATAAACATGCTGCTCTGCCATACAAAATTCTGATGGCAAAATGTTATGATAAATGTAATACTTCAAAGTCTGAAGAAAAACTACACTTTCACGGTGCTATAAAAGAGATATTTTGGTATCTTTATGAGTGAGTCACTGAATCAGTCATTCAACCAATTTGTTCAAACGCGTTAATTCAATCAGGAACAAAACAAATGACTGTGATTCAGTGATTCATTTAAATGATCTGATAAAAAAATAACTTCTATAATTATTCAAATTTAGAAGAAGAAGAAAATTTGGCTGATGTCAAAACAGGCAGAATTCAGCTATGATGAGACTTACGCAGTGCTGGGGGAGGAACGTTGATCAGACACTTGGTACATGCCCCTCGATGCTCCAGAGATACTGGAATTTCTCTATGAGAGAAAGAGAGAGAATCAAGTTAGAGTGTGTGTGATGATCCAAAATTTCACTGAGCACAACTGAGATATTGTAGCTCAACATCAGCAGGGAAATAGAATCAAAACAGATTGACAGGTAAGGTAGAAAACTAGGACCAGTCTGAACTGTTCAGACATGATCCAGACTAGAGAACTTTTTCACATTTCCGGGTTTCTCAGCAGCAGAAGTCGTCATAGTTGGGTAAACTTCTATAGCAATGAAATATATTTTTGGCATTCCCATTTGCTCAAATAGCAAAAGATAAGCTGCATGATAGTGTTTTCATGACTTTCAAAAAAAGGAAAAAAAAAAATCGAGAGAGACTGATAACGGCAGTCAGTAGAGAGAACGATGTCAAATTTACCGTCACTCCCATAGACGCTGTGTTAGAAACACCCTCGCATTAGTGTTAACTAGTTTTTTGTAATTTGATGCAAAGGTAATAATACAAAGTATAGTGTTATAAATGTACATACATTTTTAGAAAAACATCTAAATACAAAAATGCAAAAGACTTTGGAGGATTTACGATGCTGATGACCTTTGAAATGTGTCTTGTGAAAAGGGTCCATACAGTACATGGAAGAAACATGTCACATTTAAACAGTCCAAAATAACAGCACAGCCAACGAGACAGCAGGTTGCTCTGCATCACTGATTACTCATCTTACAAATAACTCATTTGTCATTTAGCTGCTTTTATGCAAATTGGCTTACCGTACACTTATTACATGGACAATCTCCTTGGTGCAACCTGTGTTAATGTGCCTTGCTGAAAGATTCTACCAGGCCAAATGATAGGCAAAGTTGCACCAAATCGAATTTGCTTCCTGACAGTCAAGCTCATTTGATCAATTGCGTCAGTTTAACAAATCTGCTGAAAGCCTCGTCAAAGGATACTGCATATTTTAGGTTTTCTATGTTTTTAAATATTGTGTAAAATTGTGTTTATTTAATTTCAGCAAATCTACACCAGTGCTATTTTTGTATCATTGATATACTATAATAATTTTAGTTAATATTGAGTTAGATTTTATTTATTTTTAGAGTGTTTTCACTTTAATTTTAAAGTATCAGTAATTTTGTTGTGTTTTTATACGTTTATATAGTTGTTGTTGTTGTTTTTAGTTTTAGTTTTAATCTAAATAAACAGTTTAGTTTAAATGTGAACTGTTGCTTTGGCAACAAGCTGAAATAAAATACCTTATATATATATAATATATTTTATTTCACGTAACAAAATGGATTGGTTTTATTTGGGTTGGTTTTGTTTTAGTTAACTATAACAACCCTAATCTATGTAAATTGTATTTACATTTAGTCATTTAGCAGACGCTTTTATCCAAAGTGACTTACAAATGAGGACAATGGAAGCAATTAAAATCAACAAGAGAGCAATGATATGCAAGTGCTATAACAAGTTTTAGTGAGCTTTAGGGATGCACCGATATGAAAATTTTGGCCGATACCGATAATCGATTATTCTTTATTTTTGAAAGCCGATAACCGATATGTTGGCCGATAAATCTATATCCAAATTGTTATATACTTTTTGAGAGCCTGATTACAAAAAAGGTCTCATCATTAAAAGCCACATCCCAAACACTTCAACATAAGCAGCCTAGTTTGAACGGTGTACGTTTTAAAAATATTTTTACTCTCCCATTACCAAATTTAGTCATAAAAAAGCCTTACAAATAAATAAAATTATGCATAAATAATGCAAACAAGTCACTGGACATCATTACACATGTAAAGAATCAAAATGAATGCGCCACAGATCAATAAAACGGAATAGCCTCTGCACGGACAATAATTAAATGATTTTAATTACTAAACCATATTGTTGATGAAAATAATAAGAGAAAAATACAAGTGGTTGTTGTTATTAATAATGTATCAATGATTTTGAAAAAGTAACAAATTAATACCACTGTTTAGAGATCCATCCGTGCTGGATATATTGGTCCGGGTCGCTAAAGACCCAAATATGTAATAATGATTGGCGAAACATTCATGCATTTAAGGGTTAAAGAAAATTCTATCATCAATTCGCTCCAGAATTTGGGCATTTGGTCTCCACTATGTAGGCAAAACCTGACCTGACACACACATGCTCTCAGTACACACACAACAAGTGTTCACCACTATCCTTCAAGAGCTTTGGGTAATGGTTGTTTTTGGCCTTGTGCTTTTAGGCACTTTAGTTTTGCCACACACAGCAATGCGTTTATGTGTGTGTGCCTGTGTGCAACAGGACTCTTTCCGCATATCTTCTGCATGGCTGAGAGATTACAGGCTGGTTTAACCCTGAGGCAAATGCAACAATCTAGAGATTTTCCCAAGACACATCCACACCAGGCCGACTCCAACATACCCACCACCTCTCTTAGCAGATAAAAGACATAAACATGCTGCTCTGCCATACAAAATTCTGATGGCAAAATGTTATGATAAATGTAATACTTCAAAGTCTGAAGAAAAACTACACTTTCACGGTGCTATAAAAGAGATATTTTGGTATCTTTATGAGTGAGTCACTGAATCAGTCATTCAACCAATTTGTTCAAACGCGTTAATCCAATCAGGAACAAAACAAATGACTGTGATTCAGTGATTCATTTAAATGATCTGATAAAAAAATAACTTCTATAATTATTCAAATTTAGAAGAAGAAGAAAATTTGGCTGATGTCAAAACAGGCAGAATTCAGCTATGATGAGACTTACGCAGTGCTGGGGGAGGAACGTTGATCAGACACTTGGTACATGCCCCTCGATGCTCCAGAGATACTGGAATTTCTCTATGAGAGAAAGAGAGAGAATCAAGTTAGAGTGTGTGTGATGATCCAAAATTTCACTGAGCACAACTGAGATATTGTAGCTCAACATCAGCAGGGAAATAGAATCAAAACAGATTGACAGGTAAGGTAGAAAACTAGGACCAGTCTGAACTGTTCAGACATGATCCAGACTAGAGAACTTTTTCACATTTCCGGGTTTCTCAGCAGCAGAAGTCGTCATAGTTGGGTAAACTTCTATAGCAATGAAATATATTTTTGGCATTCCCATTTGCTCAAATAGCAAAAGATAAGCTGCATGATAGTGTTTTCATGACTTTCAAAAAAAGGAAAAAAAAAAATCGAGAGAGACTGATAACGGCAGTCAGTAGAGAGAACGATGTCAAATTTACCGTCACTCCCATAGACGCTGTGTTAGAAACACCCTCGCATTAGTGTTAACTAGTTTTTTGTAATTTGATGCAAAGGTAATAATACAAAGTATAGTGTTATAAATGTACATACATTTTTAGAAAAACATCTAAATACAAAAATGCAAAAGACTTTGGAGGATTTACGATGCTGATGACCTTTGAAATGTGTCTTGTGAAAAGGGTCCATACAGTACATGGAAGAAACATGTCACATTTAAACAGTCCAAAATAACAGCACAGCCAACGAGACAGCAGGTTGCTCTGCATCACTGATTACTCATCTTACAAATAACTCATTTGTCATTTAGCTGCTTTTATGCAAATTGGCTTACCGTACACTTATTACATGGACAATCTCCTTGGTGCAACCTGTGTTAATGTGCCTTGCTGAAAGATTCTACCAGGCCAAATGATAGGCAAAGTTGCACCAAATCGAATTTGCTTCCTGACAGTCAAGCTCATTTGATCAATTGCGTCAGTTTAACAAATCTGCTGAAAGCCTCGTCAAAGGATACTGCATATTTTAGGTTTTCTATGTTTTTAAATATTGTGTAAAATTGTGTTTATTTAATTTCAGCAAATCTACACCAGTGCTATTTTTGTATCATTGATATACTATAATAATTTTAGTTAATATTGAGTTAGATTTTATTTATTTTTAGAGTGTTTTCACTTTAATTTTAAAGTATCAGTAATTTTGTTGTGTTTTTATACGTTTATATAGTTGTTGTTGTTGTTTTTAGTTTTAGTTTTAATCTAAATAAACAGTTTAGTTTAAATGTGAACTGTTGCTTTGGCAACAAGCTGAAATAAAATACCTTATATATATATATATATATTATATATTTTATTTCACGTAACAAAATGGATTGGTTTTATTTGGGTTGGTTTTGTTTTAGTTAACTATAACAACCCTAATCTATGTAAATTGTATTTACATTTAGTCATTTAGCAGACGCTTTTATCCAAAGTGACTTACAAATGAGGACAATGGAAGCAATTAAAATCAACAAGAGAGCAATGATATGCAAGTGCTATAACAAGTTTTAGTGAGCTTTAGGGATGCACCGATATGAAAATTTTGGCCGATACCGATAATATGAGCCGATACCGATATGGTGGCCGATATATCGTGCATCCCTAGTTAGCTTAACGCAGTACACGTAGCAAGTTTTTTTATTTTATTTATTATAAAATAAATAAAAAGAAAACGGATAGAATAGAAAAAGAATAGAGCAAGCTTAGTGTTAGAGGCCTTTTTTTTGCTTCTGTTAATTGTATAGTAAATAAAAGGAAAACAAATAGATAGAATACAAAAAGATTAGAGAAGCTAGTGTTTTTTTTTTAAAGAAAGCTGTGCCTTTAAATCACTGCTCTAGCTGGTTAGGAGATACACCCAAGAAAAAAAATGGGCCAAGCAAGGTGCCATATCGCTGACAGGGCACACACACATTCACAAACACACACTAGGCTTAGTGCCTGCAGAAAAGGGGTAGAAAGAGAAGCAGCACCGTTGATATCACTAGTGGTGGACAGCATAACAGACTGGCTGGGATTGTGGGAAATGCTTGAGATGACAACAATATTTCTGCACCTCCATCTTTCTTGATTACTTTCCTGCACAGTGCCTGTCTGAACTGTAATTAGTCCAAATGTCCCGAATCACAGCGTGTATGCTTCTGAAACACTCTGCCCTTCTTCTGACATCACTGAGTGTACTTCCTTTCCAGTTAGTAGGAGACTGGAAGGCTGTGGCTGGCATTCGGGAACACAGGCTGTGTGTGAACTCAAACTGAGTCACCAGTGCTGTGTGCAATACACTATATGAGTAAATGACAAATGTAGATTGCTGTTTCCATGGTGATTAAGGGGGTCCCCCCCAATGGTGTCAGAGGGCGAGGTGTTAGGGGGCTGCCTGAATGTGCCATGCACTGTCAAAAGAAGCCTAAAAAAGGCAGTGTGAGTAACCGTGCACACTGAATATAACATTTTTCTTATAACATATTTTAACATATTTTCTTTATATACATGCATGTGTGTGTATTTATATAAACATAATAAATATACACATTACACACACATATACTATGTAAACAAAAACCTTTATTTTGGATGCGATTAATTGCGATTAATCGTTTGACATCACTACATTTTTTCAGAATTCTTTGATGAATAGAAAGTTCAAAAGAACAGTATTTATTTATTCTTGCTTACTAAAAGTATTCATATAAAAATACTGACTACAAACTTTGCAGTGTTTACCAGAGTGCAGTCAAATTCATACTTATTTAAACTTGGTATTTGTACAGTAATTAAACAATTTGCATTCTGCACATTTTGACATTTGTTAAATGTGAATGCGAAAACCTCACACCTATATTCTCAACAGGATTATGACTTTGAGTGCACAAAGATAGTCGTCTACCTTTTTTGGCACCTACTGTATGATGCCTTGAAATGGTACCTTCGTAGGCACCTCAGTATGAACAGGAGCAAAGCAAACATTTTATTCCTATTCAAGTTTAGTTATACATCACACTGATACACAAGACAATGAAATCCACACTTTGAAAAATGGATATATCAGCTGCAGAGCTTTTAAAGAGAAAACAGAATGGTTTATGCCATATAGGCTAGATATCGAAACAGTAACTGTTTCCAATTATGTTTTTTTTTTACATGAAATTGCCCAACTGACTACAAAGAAAGTAGGCTCTTTTGCGACTTTCTCAGTTGGTCACACCAGCATATGATTTGGTCGCAATATTTTTATTTTTAGGGATTAATCAATGCATGCTGATGAACTTTTATCATAGTTTATAGTTATATGAAAACGAAAGTGGTTAACACTCAACCCCTTCTTTTTCATCAGTATTATTTGTGAATTTTGTGAACAGGGGAGACTGGAAGGCTGTGGCTGGCATTCGGGAACACAGGCTGTGTGTGAACTCAAACTGAGTCACCAGTGCTGTGTGCAATACACTATATGAGTAAATGACAAATGTAGATTGCTGTTTCCATGGTGATTAAGGGGGTCCCCCCCAATGGTGTCAGAGGGCGAGGTGTTAGGGGGCTGCCTGAATGTGCCATGCACTGTCAAAAGAAGCCTAAAAAAGGCAGTGTGAGTAACCGTGCACACTGAATATAAAATTTTTCTTATAACATATTTTCTTTATATACATGCATGTGTGTGTATTTATATAAACATAATAAATATACACATTACACACACATATACTATGTAAACAAAACCTTTATTTTGGATACGATTAATTGCGATTAATCGTTTGACATCACTACATTTTTTCAGAATTCTTTGATGAATAGAAAGTTCAAAAGAACAGTATTTATTTATTCTTGCTTACTAAAAGTATTCATATAAAAATACTGACTACAAACTTTGCAGTGTTTACCAGAGTGCAGTCAAATTCATACTTATTTAAACTTGGTATTTGTACAGTAATTAAACAATTTGCATTCTGCACATTTTGACATTTGTTAAATGTGAATGCGAAAACCTCACACCTATATTCTCAACAGGATTATGACTTTGAGTGCACAAAGATAGTCGTCTACCTTTTTTGGCACCTACTGTATGATGCCTTGAAATGGTACCTTCGTAGGCACCTCAGTATGAACAGGAGCAAAGCAAACATTTTATTCCTATTCAAGTTTAGTTATACATCACACTGATACACAAGACAATGAAATCCACACTTTGAAAAATGGATATATCAGCTGCAGAGCTTTTAAAGAGAAAACAGAATGGTTTATGCCATATAGGCTAGATATCGAAACAGTAACTGTTTCCAATTATGTTTTTTTTTTACATGAAATTGCCCAACTGACTACAAAGAAAGTAGGCTCTTTTGCGACTTTCTCAGTTGGTCACACCAGCATATGAGGATTATGACTTTGAGTGCACAAAGATAGTCGTCTACCTTTTTTGGCACCTACTGTATGATGCCTTGAAATGGTACCTTCGTAGGCACCTCAGTATGAACAGGAGCAAAGCAAACATTTTATTCCGATTCAAGTTTAGTTATACATCACACTGATACACAAGACAATGAAATCCACACTTTGAAAAATTGATATATCAGCTGCAGAGCTTTTAAAGAGAAAACAGAATGGTTTATGCCATTGTAGGCTAGATATCGAAACAGTAAATGTTTCCAATTATGTATTTTTTTTACATGAAATTGCCCAACTGACTACAAAGAAAGTAGGCTCTTTTGCGACTTTCTCAGTTGGTCACACCAGCATATGATTTGGTCGCAATATTTTTATTTTTAGGGATTAATCAATGCATGCTGATGAACTTTTATCATAGTTTATAGTTATATGAAAACGAAAGTGGTTAACACTCAACCCCTTCTTTTTCATCAGTATTATTTGTGAATTTTGTGAACAGGGCGTTTCTCTTTAGCTATGTTATAAGCCGGGCTTCGGATGCTTTCACTTTCGAAGCCATCCATCCTTTCCTCAATATTCGCGTCATTTTTGCTGCGCGCACCTTCGCGCTCCTGCTGACGCGACGAGTATAAACCAGGCTCTACACTCTATAAGTGCTGCGCAGCTCAAACGAGTAGTTTCTTTTGCCTTTTAATGTTTCTCATATGCAACAGAAATGCAGCGCTTATGAGTTAAACAATGCGGTGGTCGCGCCAGTGCTACCGCACACAAAATTTAGTCGCACAGGCAGAAAAAATTATCGCAAAATGCACCCATTTGGAAAAGGGAGCCCTGTGCAGTACAGTATTTATTTATCCTCAGTTCAAATCGCGGTAATTGAATACAGTTATAGTGATAATTAAAATATGAAACGGTAATACCAACCGTGGGGTATTTTATCATGATTTATCGTCAAACCGGTAACCGTTACATCCCTAAAGGACAGGTGTAATCTCTGATTTCTCTTAGTACATCGCTGCAATGTCTTTTGTTCTCCTTCACCGCTTTCGCTCAGTCAATGTACCTGTTGTCCATTAGGTTTGGATCCCTGCAGACTGCAGTGTCCCAGGCTGCCGTTGGGGGTGGTGGCACAGCTGCTGATGATCTGGAGCTGTTTCTCAGCACGGTCAGCCCGGTCCAACAGGTCCTCGATGAACTGCTGAAGACGCACTTTAGCATTGGCTTCACGCGCAGCTGTTTCCTGCAGAAACTGGTCGATCTGGCCCACCTCTCTGAGTAAGGAGGAAAAAAAATAAATGAGAATTACTGTGAGAGGATTGAGTCGTTCAGTGGTGATAGCTTGTCAGTTGCTCTTGATCATTTTTTAAAATAAATTTAGTGTGTTAAAGAGAATTAAGCATGAAACTCTTAAGATATGGTGGTATGGGGTGACGTATAGATGACCCGATGCATCCCTACAAATGGCATTTTCTTTTAAAGAAATTAAAGTCTAGAGAACATACCAATTTTAAACCTGTCACACCTCGACAAATGGGAAAAGGACATCTGATACCACTTTCCCCTTCCCGTTTGTCCCTTTTCTCATTCTTATTTATCTCCTCTTGCATTCTGCAATTCCCTGGAGTGTGCATACAGCCAATGAAAGCAAGACAACTGTTATCTCTGTGTAGACAATGTCTCTGTACACATAAACACTGGCTTGCGCCTCAACACCATCACCTCAGCTATTCTAAGCTTCTAACACACTCATAGTAGATTCTCACACAATTGGAGTTTTCATTTTCGTACGCCAACAAAATTATATTTTGAGATACTGACATCTTGAGTATTTCATCATCAAAGGTTGCAAGCAATGTCATAGGCCATAGTGAATAACGCAGCAGTCCCTGTACTCAAAGAAGAGGGTTTAAATATCCACACAAATGAAAAGCACCATTTAATAAACTAGGAAAATTAATGTGCGTAAATGTGATCTCAATTTCATTTATGTAATTGTGTATTCTCAAAAGATCCTCTAAGTAAATAACAATGATAAAGATCAGGCCCTATTAAATCATCACTGTCAAACAGACTGTAGTCTGCACTGTAGTCTTTTTTCAGTATGTTTGTCTTGTGCAATAATGTATCGTTACCAAATCAAAACGTATCTCAATGATCAGTCGTGAAAACAGGGACAAAAAGGTTCAACCAAAAAAAAGTTGTTTTATTGTTTTGCAGATTTACAGGGTTGTAAGGATTGATTAATGCAGGATCTAATGCTTTATGTGAGAGAACTAAACAGACTTGGAATCAATGTTGTTATTGATAAAACTACAACTATTTAAAAGGTTAAGGTTAAGGTTAGGGTAAATAAAGCTGAAATAAATTAAAATATACATATTAGATTAACTACTAACACTTTAAAAATGTAAATGAACATTATAAATGTTGCTTCTGCAACTAACAGATAAGTATGAGATGAAGTACTAAAACTCAAACCAAAGTAAAAATAAATAAAGCTATATAGAATTATTTATTACAAACAAATAAAAACAAAAAAAGCATATAAAACGACTAAAATTTAAACTAAACTTTAAATTAAAACCTGAAAACATAAAACTAAAAGCCAATACAAAAATGTAATAAATAACATAGCAGTTGTCTATAGGTGTCACGAATCCGGTCCGTGGCCTTCCGGCCGATTGCCACCAGAGGTCGCTCTCCCATTACATTGATTCTCACACCACACAGATTGTTACACATCACCACTGCATTTCCCATCATCCATTGCACTGATTACACACACACAGCTGCATCCAATGAGACACGCTTTATAAGCCATGGACTTTCTCTCTCTCACTGCCCAGTATTGCTTAGCGTATATCACTCTTCTAGCGAGAGCTACATTACAGAGCCATTACAAGTTTCCGTTTCTAGTTCTAGTCTAAGTCTAGGTTCGTGTTGCCTTGTTGTCTGTTTCCTGATCTTCTGCCTGTGTATCTTGGATTAACCCTTTGCCTGCTGTTTCAGACTGTGTTTGCACCTTGCCTGGACTATTGCTTGTGTTATTGGATAACCCCTCGTGTCAAGCCCCTCTGGATATTGTTCGCCGATCGTAGACCCACGCTTGCCCTAGGAATACTCTTTGTCTTGCCTGAAATGTACCTGTTTGCCCCATGCCTCTTATTACCACGTCTCTGTTTAATAAAAGCCTGCAAATGGATCCGCACGTCTCTCGTCTTGTCGCATCCGTTACAATAGGGTAGTGGGTAATAGTATATTAATAATACTAAAATAACACTGCTTACAAAATAGTTCAAGTCATGTTGACCATAGGGCTGGATATCGATTCAGATGTCCTGATTCGATTTGATTTCGATTCTCAAGCTCTCGATTCGATTCTCGATTTTTTTGATTACATTCAGTGAATATAGTTTTAATACAAATGCTATTGATATTTCTAAAAAATTAACAGTAAACATCAGTTTACAAATGGTAAATTAATAAAAAGAAATTAAGAACCACATGCCTATGTTAAACCTATTCTTTTTTTTTTGTATAGGGTCCTTTTTTAAACAATAATAGGGCCCTATAAAATGTTCTTAATTTTTCTGGTAATCAGATGAAGGCATAAAACATTAATTTAATTTATCCTAATCAAATGAAAATTAAACCCTTTTATTTTTTTGCAAACAAAGTGTTGCACAACAAAGGTTTACTGTTAAAATTAAAAAGAAAACAGATGTGATTACTCCTTTTAAAAATAAATATTCATATTTATTAGCAGTAGTAGCATTGAGTCTTAAGACTGCTAAATAGTAATATATTCTGACAGTAGAACATTAAACTAAACATTTATTTTGACAGGTTGCCGTGAACAACTTCCAGCTGCTGTGTATGTGATATGACGGCAGATTTCTCAAATGAAACGGTAAATGCTAATGAAGTGACTCTCAGAGCAGCTGGAGATGACATTCGTGTAAATATCATCATATAGTGAGACGGCAGAAGCTGAAAACACCGCAAGCGCCATCCGCGCTTTAGTATGTGTGTAGTAAACAAAAAAGTGCGCCGCACCATCCGCCATTCATTCATTGCGGAAATCATGGTGATTTACGTGTGATATCAAATGCTTCAGATTTATAGTATTACTATAGCATTTCACCTGAGCATTGCGAATCACGCGTATAGGTAAGGCAAGGTAAATAAGGGTGACATCTAGTGGAGAAGACTAATGATAAGATTCACGTTAATCAGATCTTGTTTTAAATGTGTGCTGAAATAAAAACTGGAAAAGATCGATTCGTGGCTTTTGAGAATCGATATCGAATCAACGTCATTTTAAAAAACGATTAATCGGAAAATCTTTTCTTTTTTTTGCCCAGCCCTAGTTGACCTTGACCACTTTTATGGTGCTTTTGTGTCCATTAAAGCATGAAATCTCCAGTCCCTATTCATTGTTACTGCAAAGAAAACAACACTAAAGCAACCAGTACATTATTTAAAAAATCTGCGTGTGTGTCACATTGGGCTGGAATACATTGTCATTTTTGGGTACTGTTCAATTCAAAACAGTCATACTACAGCATTTCAGAATCTTGTGTAATCACTTCTTGAATGACTGCTTTCTAGTCACTCGACTGCAGTATTCTTACTGTAGTAAAGGTCAACATTCAATCAGTCAATCAACAGTGTAAACGAGACTAATTACAGGCCCAGTAATGTGGAGGCAGGGAAGAGCGGTGTGTGTTCACTGTGTGCTATACCACGCGCACATCCGCATACATTACATATGCCTCTGCCCCTCACTATCTTAAACTGCAGTAGTGACTTTTCTGTAATTAAAGGGCTGGCACCTAATTTTGTCGGTCGGCTTGATAAATCTGTTTATCTACCCATAATGTGTGGGGCCTCTCAAGGAAGAGTAACACTGTGATCAGTGTGTGCTTGTATTAAAGACCCCGCAGGGAATCAAAAACGAAGTTTTGTGGATTTTAGTCCATGTCTATTTTTAGTCCATGTCTACATACAGACTCTCTCTATGGGAGTATACACCTACATATGCTCATATATATGCATCTTTCTCTCTGGAAAAAAATTACAAAATGTAATGATGACTCATGTTGTATGCAAGAGTGTATGCAAATTTTAGGTAATAAATGCTAGTTATTTTTTAGCAACAATCGGTTTGATATATCCTGCCCCAAATTCCAGTTTTAATAGCTTCAGTCATATGCCCCATGCATGGTAATTTTGGCTGTCGATGATGCTTTTAGAACCAGATGTAGTTACAGCATCTACCAGCAGGGGCTAACAGAGCCATGCTAACTAGAAAAATCTCGACCTTTTAAATCCAGTTAAGCCCCCTGAAGTATTTGGTTTTTATTTATATGTGTGCTAGGATATGCATACAGTGCATGTAACGTAAATATTATCATCTGCATAGTATGCACGTATTGCACATGTGCAGCCAGATTTTTCTAACAATGTGTAGGCCTACTTTGTGAGGCTTGAATTTTTTGGCACTAATTAGTTTGTCCATATGGTGGCAACAATGGCCTAGGCCAGTGTTTCACAGACAAAAAACATACAGAGACAGAACAATGATAAGAGTTGCAAAGGGGTGGATAATTTTGTTAAATTTCAGGAAACTTCACAAAAAAAGCATGTAAAGTTTCCAAATATTCTGTAAGGTTTCTGGAAATTTACCAGAAATTGTCTGCCTCTTAGCAACCCTAGCAACGACAGATGCCCACATTAACTCTTTCCCCACCAGTGTTTTTTAAAACGTTGCCAGCCACCGCCAGCATTTTTGATAATTTTCACAAAAGTTGAATGGCACCGAGAATATTTTGTTGTATGAATATATGAACATGCAATATTTCAAAACAAAGAACAGAGCCTCTGCTTTTTTGTTTTATTCTAGCTTCATGAAATCTTATTTATCAACACTTGAATGTGGGTAAGTTTCATGAAAAAAAGCAACATTATGAACAAAAAGCTGAGAAAAATCACGTTTTTTGTAAAAGACTACATCTGGATCAGATTCAGAACGGTGATCAAAACATAGATGGTACAGATCGCTTCCATCAACACATCCAAAGCTTGCATGGTATACCACTTCCTGGATCGACATTTCATTCGGTAACGTTAGGCAGTTTTGATTTATATGCTGTTTTATGCATTATTTTACATATGCATCTGCTTACATATGCGACTGCTTGTTTCTTCTGCTTCTTCCCCGTGTTTTGACCCAGACATTCAATACTCTTTCATAAGATGCATAATAGCA